GCGTGAGAGAGAGAGAGACAGAGCGAAAGAGAGAGAGAGAGAGAGAGAGAGAGAGAGAGAGAGAGAGAGAGAGAGAGAGCGACGAGGCAAGGCGTGTAGCGGGCCTGGACCAACGGCGGGGGCGTGGCGCGCTGCTACCGTCCCTACTCATGCGAGTGCGAGTGCCAAAAACTTGAGTTGAGCTTCAAAATCATGTTGTTATTTATATTTTCAATGTTTGTTTTGTTGGGAAAGGTCTCTTGATCTAGGAACTTGGATTGAAACTAATTAGCAGTGCCCTTACCTGCGATGGCATGAGCAGCATCATGTGGTCGGTGAGGGTGGAGGGCGCCAGGGTGATGGGCGACGAGGGCAGCACCCGGAGCACCTCGGGCTCGCCCGGCAGGGTGCTCTTGTCCGTCGCCACGATCACCTCCACGCCGTTGCTCATCACCTTGGTGGCCAGGTTCCAGGCGCGCGCCTGCTCGCCCGCCACTGCAAAAGCACCGCCAGACTCCAGTCATTGCAGGCGACACGCGGCGGTCACGGTGACGTCATACTGACACGGCCTCGGTCAAGGTTCGGTCTCGACTTGTAATTAAGTGCAAGTCAGAAGTCAATATGATGTCAGTGACATTACTGTGACTACTGCGTGTTATACACACTCAGAAATGGTAGTAAACAAGTCTAATACACTATGGAAAAGCGTCCGGCGTGTAAGTCAAATGAAAAGCATGCAAAACAAAGAAAGGCAAGGTGTCAGTCAGGGTCGCATGGTCTATGTACACAATAATAATAGCGACAGAATGAGAGGAAAATTTCTCTTCTGTTAACTATGCATATATCGAAACTATTTTACAAAAGAGTTAATAAAAAGAGACAGAGAAGAGGTAAGACTGAAAGAGAAACTCGTAGTCATTAATAAAGTCGTTCCAAAATATGTAAAACACAGTCTACGGTTCAGAAAGTATCGCCTTTGGAGCTGAGTTTGACACCTTGGTTTGACCTGATCAAACACCAGCTCCGACCGGGTCGAGTTTCGTCGCCATACGTTAACAGATGCGGGACCTGGTACTCACCTGAGGCGGACGCGGAGGAGAGGTCCAGGGTCACCGTCCTGGTCACGATCAGGGTCTGGATGTCGTGTTTGAGGGAGGTGCTGGTGAACACGAGGGGCGCGGCCGGCGCCCCGGGGACGAGCGCCCCCGAGGGGTCGGCGGTGGGGCCGCCCTGGCGCGTCACGACGAGCGTGACGGTCCGCAGGCGGGGCCGCGTCACCGTCTCGGTCACCACACTGACTAGACTGGGGCGAGGAGGGGTCTTTGGTATTTTGCGTCGCGGTCCGGGTCTTCCAGGAGCACTGGGCGGGGTGTTGGTGAATGCGGTGGCTGACGAAGGCGTCGGCGACGAGGACGCTGGCGAGGATGTCACCGGAGCCAGCGTCGAGGCCTTGACGGGTCGGTACGACGGCCGGTAAGTGGTCGGGGCGACCCGCCGAGACGGGGTGCCGATCGCACTCGGTCGAACGACGAGAACGTCTTCGTCGTCCCTCTCGGCAACGAGAAAATCGTCGACGGGCGTCGTTGGAGACGCTGGGACGCGGAAAGCCCTTGGGGTGGCTGGGGAGGTGGTGCTGCTGGTGCTGGTGCCGACCTTGGGGATGATGACTCTCCTCGACTTGGGGTTGAAGGTGGTCGGCTTGTCGAGGGGCGGCGCTGTGGTGGGGCCGTCGGAGATGGTTGTCAGGATCGCCTCCTCGGCGAGGCTGACCTCCACTCCGCGGGTGAGGGCGGCTTCAGGCCGGTTCGGGGACGAGGCGGGTCGCCGTCGTCTGCCGACGCGGACTGGCCGCGGGGCCTGGGCGTGCTGTTGCTGTCCGTCAGAGGCGCCGGGGAATGTCGTGTCCCTCCTCTGACGGCTTGGGGTGTACCTGGCGTAGCTGGGGTCAGTGCTCCTGTTGGTTATCGCGTGGGCCTGCCGCAGCGGTGGAGCTAACTCAGCGGGGCCTTCGCGAAAAAATCTTTCTTGGTGTACTTCTTGGGTTGCTGCTTGGCCTGCGTGGCGGCCACGTCCAGACCGACCTGCGTCGCGCTGAGCATGTTGACGTACTGACTGACGTCGCCGACGATGCTCTCCAGGCTCTGCGTACCCAGCTCACTGCTCTCCACCGAGATGTCGTTCATCCCGGACATGAGGTACTTCTCCATGCTCAGGTCGAAGTCGTCGGCAAACGAGCCGCCCAGCTGCGCGGGCAGCCGCGAGGGCTGCACCACGACCTCCACGGGGGTGCCGAAGCCGGCCTCCCGCTTCTTGACGGACACGGACGACTCCTGGCCGACCGTCACGGTGGACAGGATGGTGCTGAACTCGCCAGGGTGGCGGCCCGACACGTAGATGGTGATGACGCTCGTCTCGGGCACGGCTGGCTCGACCTCCATCTTCTTCAGAGCCGGCCTGAACTTATTGGGCCGCTTCGTCTTCACCACCTCCTCCTCCTCGCTGGAGGCCTCCTCGGAGCCCCGGGCGGGCCGCACGTCGGACTCGGTGTCCTCCTTCTTGGCCTTTGGGCCGGCAGTGTTCTCCAGGACGTCTTCGTCAAGCAGCAGCTTCGGTTGGTCCAGGGCGGGGCTCAGGGCGGGGTTGAGCGCGCCCAGCGGGCCCAGGGGGCTGACAGTGGCCTGCGGCTGCAGAAGTGCGTTCTGCAGCAGTGCGGGCAACAGCAGAGAGTTGAACTGGTTGTTGACGGCGGGGAGTGACGCGGTAGGCGTCACCACCACTGTCTCCGTGATGAACTCCGTGGCGGTGATGACCTGCACCGAGCTGTCGATGAGCGTCGTGTAGATCTTCTGACCGCGCAGCGTGATCGGCAGCACGGTGGAGGTCTGGTCCGTGAGCGTGGTCACGTACGTGGTGGTCTTGGTCTTGTACTCCGTGGTGGGCGTGGCAGGGGTCTGCGGCTGGCCGGCACCGAGCAGACCGTTGGGCTGGAGACCAATATTGGGCTGCAGGCCGATGTTCCCCAGCAGCAGCTGCGACAGCAGGATGTTGGCGAGCGGCGCGTTGGGTCCGCCGAACTGCGGGGTCACGGTGCTCACCACCGGCTCCACGTCGTACACCGTGCTGGGCACGACGTGCGAGTAGGACGTCTTCCGTCCGCGAATCACAGTCGGCGTGAAGGTGACGCTCGTGGTGGGGGTCTCGTGCACGATGAACTTGGTGACCTCCTGCAGACCGTTAGCGGCCGTGCTCGTGACCTCCGCCGTCAGTTGGATGTACGAAGAGCCGTCCTTGCCCACCGTGGTCGAGTACTGGTGCGGGCCCAGCACCTGCAGGCTGGGCTTGGCCGTCAGCACGTTCTTGTACTCCGTCACCTTGCCGTTGACGATAGGGATGGTCACCTCGGTCGGGATCTTGTGCGTCACGGTGATGGTGCCGTCAAACCGCGACTCGGCCACGTACGCGTCGTCGACCGTGTCGCCGCGGTAGCGGCCGCGTGTGGGCGTGCGTGGGCGGCTGCTGGTGTAGCCGCGGCGGTTGGAGGAGCGCGAGTACGAGGACGGCGCCTCCGTGGGCTGGTAGGACTGGCGCAGGCGTGGTGGGCGCGCGCGCACCGGCGCGGGGGTGGTCTCGTAGTTGCTGGTGCGACGGCGCGCGGGCGACGTGGTCGGCCGGCGGAAGGTGGCGCGTGGCGCCGGGGTCGTGGGGTTCTCCTTGCGGAGCGTGAACTGTGAGCGCGCCGCGCTGGAGGAGGCGCTGGTGGGCCTCACCCTCTCCCGGTGGTGCGTCTGCGGCGCCTGCGTGGCCGGCTGCGGCGGTGGCACGGGGGCGCGTGGCCGCGGCGTGAAGCGCGTCGAGTGGCTGGTGTGGCTGGCCTTGGTGGTGGGCTGCTCAACGTACTCGTCGTAGTAATAGTCGTAGTCGGCGCGGTCCTGGACGACCGGCGCGGGCGTCTGCTGCGCGCGCGAGGTGGGCCGGTGGTAGCGCGAGCTGTACTGGCGCTCGCCGGCGTACGTCCTAGCACCCCTGCTGGAGTACTGCGGGTCGGCCTGACGACGCACCCTGCCGGGCCGGCGGCCGGCGAACGGTCTGATGGACACGGCGCTAACCGTCTTACCGCGGCGGCTCGGCTTGGTGGCCTCCTCGACGGGGGCGGCTGTGGACTTGGACTCTGCGTTGGCCACCTCGGAGCCCTCATAGTCGTTGTCTACGACGGTACCCTCCTCTCCTTCCTTCTCCTCGTCGGTGCCCTTCTCCTCCTCCTTCTTGTCTTCTTCCTCGGCCTGGCCGGGCTTCCTGAAGAGCCCCCTCTTTGGGAACAAGTTGTTGGCTGGGCGCTGCCTGCCGCTGGCGATGGCCGGCGGCGGCTTCGGCCTGGACGGCTTGGGCGTGGTTGTCGTGGTGGTAGTGGACGCTCCTGACCCCTGGCGCCTACCCAGGACGCCGCGGCGCGGCGCACTGGTGGACACGGGCTTAGGGGTGGTCGTGGAGGCAGGTGATCGGCCAGCCAGGGGCGGCCTCCTGAAGCGAAGCAGCGGGTTCTGGTTCCTCCTGGACGACTCCGTAGTGGTGGCCGGCGCCGGAGTCTCCTGCTCCTCGGAGGCCGTCACCGCGGGCGTCTCCTCAGTCACGATGGTGGTGCTGCCCAGGTCGTTGTCCTCCGGCCCCAGCGAGTTGTCGTGCAGGTGCGCGTGCGCGGTGGCGCCTCCCCTGCCGGGGAACGACGCGCTTGTCGGACGGATGCGGTTGAAGCGCGAGCTGGAGGCGGACGCGGCCGACGCGCGGTATGGGTGCTCCGTGGGGTTGGCGCGGCTGCTTGACGGCCTGCTAAACGCGAAGCCCCTCGTGCGGGAGGCCGTGGGTCCAGACACGGACGCCGACGGCGTGATGCGGCCCGCGCTGGAGCGGCGGCCTCCCCCGAAGGTCGAGGACGACGATGAGGGCGTGATGGCACCGCTGGACGAGGTGCGCGACCGACCCGTGAAGCGGCGTCCACTCCCGGCCGACGCGGAGGCCTTGACGTCCAGGCTGGCAGAGCTGCTGAGTAGCGACGAGCTCTGGCGCCGGCTGCCGGCGAAGCGACCGCGCGTGGACGCGCTGCCGTCGGGCTTGAGCGCAGGGGTGGCGGTGATGGTGGGCGTGAGCAGGTTCCTAGTGATGGTCGTCGCGCTGGTGGCCTTTTCGGCCTTGCGACGTGGCAGGAAGGTCGGCCTGTTCCTAGACGAGAAGGGCCTGATGGTGGGCGTGAAGGTGCGCTTGCGGGTGGCAAAGTTGAGCCGGCCCGAAGAGCCGCGTCGGCCAGAGCCGTCGTCCTCGCCACTTCCCTCTTCCTCGTCCTCGGAACTGCCCTCGCCGGAGCCAGATCCCTCGCCGCCCATGGAGCTCTCGATCACGTCCGGAGACGGCGAGGTCGACACAGAGGCTGTGGCTTGCACGAGGCCCTTGGCTGCCGACGCCGTGGCCAGGATCTCGGACACCACACCGGTCGGGTCGACCGTGGCGGCCACATCAGCCTTGAAGCTGGACGTCGACTCTATGATCTGGGCGTAGCGACCGTCGATCAGGGTGCCGATGACACGTGACTCGTAGAACGTGGTGGTCTGGTCCTTGACGATGGAGCCCTCGATCAGGCGGACTAGTCCGGTGCGGAAGGTCTTGCCGTTGACGGTGACGGTTGGGTCCACAGCTGGTGTCTGAGTGGCCTTCTCCTCGTCGATCTTGATGGAGGACGTGCTCTCCACGACCTGTGCGTACAGCTGCTCCACGTACGTGCCGACGGCCTTCGTGGTGAAGAAGGTCGTGGTGACGCCGTCCGCGTCCACGATGCTGCCCTCGTTGATGGAGACGACGCCGGTGGGCTGTGCGGCCCCTTTGGGCGCATCCGTCTGCGTGGGCTGCACGTCGGGCTGGGCCTCCTCCTGAACTCGTGTCGTGCTCTCCAGCACCTGGGCGTACAGGCCGTCGATGTAGGTGCCAAACACGTCGGTGGAGTACACCGTCGTGGTGCCGTCCACCACGCTGCTGGCCACGATGGTCGACAGCAGGCCAGTGGGCTGCACGGCGGCTGCAGCGGGCGCGTCGGGCGCCTCCGTCACCTTGTCCTCCTGCTCGTACACGGGCCCGACCTGCTGCTCGACGGCCACGCTCACGATGGCCCTGCCGGTCTGCAGGCCGTTCTCCACCTCGGCCACACTCGGGGCGATGGTGGCGTTGACCACGGTGGTCACGGTCTCCAGCCTCGACTTGAGAATGGTGCTGTCGCCAATGTACGACGTCGTGAAGTACGTGTACGTCGTGTAGTAGGTCGTGGGCTCCAGCGCCTTGGGCTCGGACAGCTCCAGGAGGGCGTCCGGCGCAGCCGTCGGCGCCAGCGTCGTGCTGTCCAGGACGGCGGTAGGCGTGATCTCGATCGATGCGGTGGCGGGCAGGGACGCGGTGGGTGTGACCACGTTAGAAACCGTCTCCTCTCGGCTGGTGATGTGCGTGCTGCCTTCCTTGTACAGCGTGGTCCAGTAAGTGAAAGTCGTGAAGTAGGTGACCGGCAGCGTCGCGTCCTCGTCGTTGTACGCGTTGGTCTCGCTAGGCGCCACGGTCTCCGTCACGACGTTGGTCACCGTCTCCAGACGGCTGATGATGTCACTCGATGTAGAGCCCTTGTAGACCGTGGTGAAGTATGTGAAGGTGGTGAAGCTGGTCTGCAGCAGTACGGATGGACTGAACGATGGCTCGATCTCCTCCGTGTTGCTCTCCGAGCTGATCTGGTCGTCGAGGCCCGAGTCCGCGATGTCCAGAATCTTGCGCTGCATCTTTTTGCCGCCTGACGTGCTGCTTGTGACGTCAGTAACCCTCGTCTCCGTGACGAACACTTCCTCGTCGTCACCGACGCGGACGGCTGACGGGTTGAGGACGTTCTCCTCGTTCCTGGAGATGGTCGTGTACCGCGCGTCTTCTGTGGAATCCTCGGGCCCTGCTGACTTTAGGTAAGCACGTGTCAAGTCGTTGTCTTCGTCGTTCTCCTCACCTGGGGACAACACCCGGTTCACGTCGATGTTGATGGGCTTGGTGGCTTGCACGTCGGTTGTCTTGGTCGGCGAGAGCACGTTCGAGAACACCTCTGTCCGGCTGGACACGCTCGTTTCACCGTCCACAAAGATGGTGGTGAAGTAGGTGTACGTGGTGTAGTACGTCTTGGGGTCCACTGCCGTTTCCACGATGCCGGCGCTGTTGAAAGCAGCCGTCGGTGTGCTGAGCTCCTTCTCGACGTCCACTGATTCGATGACCTCCGTAAAGAGGTCCCTCTCCTCCGGGGAGAGCCCGGAGTCCACCGGCACCGCCTTGGTCGGTCGGACTGCCGGGCGGACGGTGGTCGGGACGATCCTGGGCTCGTCAGTGGAGGTCATAAGGTAGTCGGAGGTGCTAGACGACGCGCTCTCTTCGAACAGGAGCTCGGAAGCGAACAAGGCTGGGTCAATGGTCGAGGAGATGACGTTGGTTACGATCACCTCCCTGCTGGCCACGCTGGTCGTAGACTCCTCGAAGAACGTGGTCAGGTAGGTGTAGGTCGTGTACAACGTCTTGTAAATGACTTCCAGCTCCTCCTCTTCTTCTTCGGGCAACTTTTCCGTCGTCGTTGTCCTGGCCGGGGTTGTGGTGATAACCGGAGGCTCGGACGTGGTCAGATCCTCAGGCTCCTTCGCAGTGGTCACCTCCTCGTCCTTGGCCGTCGTAGCCTCGGGCGCTGTCACTTCCTTCTCCGGCGTCGTGGTTGGCGGCTTCTCCGTGGTGGTGGTAGTGGTCGTGGAGGGGGTGGTAGGGGCGCCAGTAGTAGTTGGGTCTTCGGCTTCTTCCGTCGTGGGCGGAGCCGTAGGCTGGGGCGTTGTAGTCGTGGGTGGCAGCGTCGGGGACTGCGTGGCCTCGACGGCATCGACGCCAGCCTTGATCACGCGCGTCACCTGGATCACGTCGGTTGAGGTGACCTCACGTGACTTGACAGAAGTGGTGGTGAGCGTCCCCTCAGCGGGTATGAAGAAGGTTGTCAAGTAGGTGAAGGTCTTGTACACGGTCGACGGCACCACGCGAGTTAGGAACGCCGTAGACTGAACTTCGCCGTTCGCTTTCTTCCCCAAGTCGACCTCGTTGGAGATGTCGTTCTCAGGCGTTGTCACTTCCGGCGGCACGGTGGTGGCGTCGTCGGACTCCTCGGTTACTGGCTGCGCCGTCGTGGAATCGGCCTCTCCGACAAACTGCGAGAAGATGGTCTGCGGTTTGTTGTCCTGCTTGGGCACCGGGGTCGGCTCGACCACGTCGTCCAGGAAGAAGAAGACGCGCGAGGAGGTCTGCACCACCTCCCTGTACGTGCCGTCCACGCGGGTGCCGATCACAGACTTCTTGTACATGGTCGTGGTGCCCGCGTTCACGACGCTCTCGTCGATGGTGCGGAGGAGGCCGAGGGGCTGGGCCTTCTTGCGCTCCTCCAAAACCCTCGTGCTGTAAGGGGGCAGGGGCTCGGTGGCGCGAGCTGACTGGTACGCCGAGGAGGGCTCCGCGTCGGCCAGGCGCGGCCCCACGGCGGGCGCGCTCGTCTCGGACGGCTGCACGACCTGCGAGGGTCTCAGCCTCGCGGACGCGGGCTCAAACGCCTGTTCACGCGCCAGAACGGACGACTTCCTCATGTAGTCATCCTTCTCGTCGTCCTGGAACGCAGACTGCTTGGGCTGGCGGGGCGCGCTGGGCGCGCTGGGCCGCACGGGCAGCTCGGCGCGCTCGGCCACCATGGTCGGCAGGGACGTCTGCATGGTCAGCGAGTGACCGGTCACGGTGCGGGTCATCATGCCGGGGGAGTGCGACATAAAGGTCTTGACGTCCGTGACCACGGCCATGTCGTCATCGACGGGCCTCGTGGCCTTGGGCGCGCCGCCCGTGTTCGGCATGAAAATGATGACGGTGTCGCCCACTGTGGTCGTGAAGTCCACGAAGCCGAGGTAGGTGACGGTGTCCAGCTTGCGGCTGTCGGCTCTGGGTAGCCCGCCCCTAAACAGCGCCTTGCTGGCACGAGGCCGCACTAGGCTGCTCTTGCTGGGGTCCTTGGCGTTCTTCTGTGGAGTCTCGATGTGCACCTCCTCGGAGGAGAAGGCGCTGGGGGCGAAGTCGTGTCGAACAGTGAAGGTAGGCAGGTCCAGCTGTGGGTTCACGACGCGTGCGGGGTTGGGCTTGACCTCGTTGGTCTGCGGCAGAGCGGGCTTGTCCTCCGCCTGACGTTTCTTGTACAGGTCGATGTTACGGTCCGCGTTGTTGGCAGCCAGCTCGCGAGGATCGCGCTCCGCGTTCACCAGGATCACGTTGTTGAGCGAGTTCCTGGTCTCGGACAGGCTGAAAAGGTCATCCAGGTCGTTGCCGACGGGCGCCCGCGGTGCATCAGGCTGCTCCAGGATGGGGTCCTGGTGCGCGGGCGCGGGCGAGGGTGTCGGCGGTGGTGCGGGCGCGGGCACGGCCTGCACCACGCTGGCCGGCGCGGGGCTCACGCTGTAGAGCGTGGCCGCCTTGACGGGCTTGAACGCGTGGTGGTAGGCCTGCGTGGGGTACACGATGACGGGGGCGGCCCCGGCGGCGCCCGGCGGCCGGCGCGCGGTGGGCCGGTGGTGCGGGGAACGCAGCAGGTCGCCGCCGTCGTAGAACACCCTCGAGCTGGTGGTGAGCAGCTGGGCGTACGCGCCGTTACCCAGGGTCGTGCCCACCACCTGCGTGGCGAACTCGGTGGTCGCGCCGTCCTGCACGAAGGTCCTCGCCGTGGACGAGAGCACGCCGACGGCCGGCGGCACTCCGCCGCGACCCGGCAGCGGGTCGACGTACAGCGTGGTGACATCTGAATCAGACGAGAGCAAAAGGCGGGGTACAGGCACGGAAGAGGGCGAACCACACACCGAAATGAAAGCACAGAGTCGGGAAGAAAGTGAGGCTCTGGGAGACCTCTTGACACTCGCCGGGTCCCCCGCGGGTCACGTCGGCCACCTCCACGCTCGCGCGCAGCCCGGCCCCGCGGGCCCGCCGCACCGCAGCTGCACCCCTGCGGCGCTCTCGAAAAATTCTCATCAAAATCTCATCGACCGCAGGGGTCGCTGTGCGTCCGCGTTACCGCGCCTGGGAGACCAACGTGATTTCTAAAAGCAGGAGACGGGCTGCGCGGAGCGGGAGGCAGCCGCCGACACTATGCAGGGGCCACACAACACGAAGACCAAAAGCGAAAGGACACGGTGGAAGTGTGCGTCCTCACCCACGTAACAAATAAAACCAGAAACTTTAGAATACAGAAAAAGAAATATATACAGGGAAAATGAGGCGCCTGCTCGGTTGGTGTTGCGTATGGTGGGGTGTGGACTGCCTGCTGCTGGTCGTGCCTGCGGAAGGCGGGTCGGAGAGGAGATTAAGAAGAAAACATTGAGGTACTGAGCAACTAACAGGTAGGTACATGACACGGAACAACCTGCCAGATGGACACAACCCATAGCAGTGTTGGTGGGGCAAGCATTTACCGGGACAGCCCCCCCCCCCCCCCC